CGGCCCCCCCCCACCTCTAAAAGATGCTTTTTTTTTTTTTGTTTTGTTTTTGTTTTGTCTTTTTCAAACTGAGTCTCCCTGTAGCCCCGGCTGGCCTGGAACTCGCTATGTAGACCAGGCTGGCCTTGAACTCACAGAGATCCACCTGCCTCTGCCTCCCAAGTGCTGGGACTAAAGGCATGAGCTACCACGCTTGGCTTTTTTTCTTTTTTAAATGGATTACAAAACTGTTGTGTATGGGTAAGGTAGAAAACAGAAATCCAAAGCCTCTGTAATGGCAGCTCCTGGTGTTAAGACATTTTGGCAACTGAGCCCCTGACCTCCCACCATCACTTCCCAGGTCATGTATTGATTCTGTGTTTTGTAAGCAGTGTTTTCCCTTAATCTGTTGGGAACATGTTACCAGATCCTATAATATAATGTGATTTTTTTTCAATATATATTTTTACTCGATTTTTATGTATCTTAAACATATTTAGACCCCCTCCCCTATCTGCAATCTCCAATCCCCCCTACACCAAAGGATTTCATGCATTCTGTCATATATGTTAAGGCCTATTGAGTCAAGTTTGTGTCCACAGATACCCCTCAGTGTGAGTTCATCCACTGGAGCCTGTTCAGCCTGTCTAGTGTCGCTCCCTTAAAGAAGACCAACTCTCCCTCACCCAGCGGTGATCAGCTGCCAATAGTTCCTCGGCTAAGGTCGGGGCCTGCTGCCCATTTCTCCAGTTCTCTGCTGGGTTTTTGTCTGATTGAGTTTGCACAGGTCTTGTGCATGCTGTCACCATTGCTGTAAGTTTCTATGAGCACGTTCTGGCTCTTACAGTCTTTCCGCCCTCTTTCTGCAATGGTCCCTGAGCCCTGGGTAGGTGAAATTTGATACAGGAGTCCTTCCCAGGGACACACACTCTGAAGTCTCTTATTCTCTACATTTTGGTCACTTGTGGCCTGCTGTGTCAATCACCCTCTGTTGCATGAGGAAGCTTTGTTGGTGAGAGTTGAGAGATGCGTTAGTGTTCTCTCTACCCCCGTCCCACTATGTTCCGTGAGCCTTAGCTGTAGAAGCTCCATTATAGATGTGTCACTTAGGGCTGAGCATCTCAGTGTGTGATCAGTTGTGGAACTCTGTAAAAGTCTCCATCTGTTACAAAAAGAAGCTCTTTGGTTGAGTGGCGAAAGGTATACTTGTCTGTAAATATAATGATCCATGTTTAGCATATAACATGATTTTAAAAATTGATATATAATTTACATTAAGTACATTTGAAATTATATCAAATATGCCTCAACTTTTCCCAGCACAGGAGTTTTCCTCTTTGTATTTTGTTTAACTCCTTCCTTTCCTCCTTCTAATTTCATACATGTCAGTCTTTCTCCTGTGGTTTTAATGACTTTGTAATATTACTTCACCGATGAACTAGACTGTGTTTACCTAAACCTTCATTTCTGGATGTTATAAACTCGTGTTTTACTACGAAGGCTCTGGTCAACTGCTATGTCCATAGGAAGTGCCGAGTAAAACCAGATCTTGATGCCAGAGCCAGCGTTGACGTTGTGCTACTTTTTGTCCATGACTTCATATTCCTAAATCCACTAACCTGCTCTTATCCAACCTTCAGAGGAACCGCATTGGCTCGGAAAACCCCAGTGATGTTTTCCGGTTTTTGGTGGAAGACCGTATTCAGTGCTGTCAGAGCCGCAAGGTCCGCTACACCGAGAGGGTGGGCTATGTGATGCAGCTGCCTGTGGCCATGGAGGCGGCGGTCAACAAAGGTAACGTTCCCAAATGGGAAACAAGTCACGTGTGCCTTTGTGTGGGAAACCTGCACCAGGCATAAGGGGCTCAGCCACGGAGAGGAGGCTGTGTTTGGGTTGCACATTTCTTCTGGTTCAGCCTCCACTGTCTGCAGAGGAGACCAGATGTATCACATCAGGCTTTGTGGAGGCGTTACAGAGAGAAGCTACTGTAGGACCCATGAATGCGGCTCTGGCTTGCTGGAGTCAGCAGAATCTTGGGTGGATTACTGGTGATGATGTGTGTAGGAGACTCTTCTCCCATCATCTCTGATAGGCAGTGGTATTAAGTCTGATGGAAATTCATCTCTTGACTGTTTGATATTGCAACAAAGGTCTTGGGGAATGTCCCTGCCATCCCCCGGGGTCTGTAAGGCAGCTCTCCCAGGAGGTGTATTGTGGCACTTTGCAGGAGTGAGACCCATTCAAAGAGTGTCTGGACTTTGAAAGCGAGAAGAAGGCAGTGCCACCGGCCACCAAATCTTTGCAGAAGCAGCGAATGGTGTTTCTTGGAGTTAGTGTCTTAGAGCCCAAAATGGCAAAATGGCTTCTGGGCTGTTCGTGTGTTCACTTGCCGTCTTCTAAAGGCCAACACCTCCGTGAGAGCCTCTTTTCTACTTTAACTTTATTATGTTAATTTGAAAGTGATGATCTTAAAATGAAACGATTTCCATTTTCCATAAGCTCCTACAGCTTTTGATCAGTGTTTAGATTCTTGCCCATCACACAAGGTAAAATAAAGGTATTGAGGGTGTGGTTTGTTGCTGTTTTAGATGATGGCAGTCGTAGTTTTCCTGCTCCTGATAAAGCACCTGATAAAAGCACCTTTGGGAAGGAGGGATTTATTCTTGTTACAGTGCCCAGCCCATCACGACAGGAAAGTCATGGCTGAGTGTCTCATTACACTTGCAGTTAGGAAGTAGAAGGAGATAGTCCTTGGATCCAGCTAGCTTTCTCTTTTTATAAAGTGCACAACCCAAGCCCAGGGAGTGGATCTGCCCACTTTTAGGGTGGGTTTTCCCAGTTCAACTAACTTAATCCAGATAATCCCTTACAACTGGCCCTGGAAGCTTGTCTCCTAGGTGATTCCAGATCCTGTCAAGTTGACAATCAACGTTAACCATCACAAGGGCCAACTACTCTGTCCGTCCACCTCAGGGCTGCTGACTTCCGTGTTCTACTCAGTCCTGTAAGCCTATGTGACAGAGCGATGCTCTAAGATGAGTCACTTTGTTTGGAATTTGCATTGAAAAGGGAATATACAGAAAACCATATGTGTGTTCGGGGAGGGTGAGGCAGAGGGACATTTTAATGGCAGAGTGGGGAGAGTTTCAGGAATTGATGTACAATAATCCTTGGTCACAAGGGTTAATTAGCGAGCAGGCATCACGACAGAAGCATTTTCTGTGCACGGCTGTGATTATGACCATCTATTGTAGTAGCTCTTGTCAGCTCTTGCCTTTTGTGGTTAGTTGTTAAGATAAAGCACAAATGACACCATTTAGATTTTAGTAACTTTCACAGTCCTGTGATCTCTAACTCTGTGAGTGGTAATTTTGTTTTGTTTTTTGGTCTTTTTGGGACAGGGTCTCCCTGTAGCCCCAGCTGGCCTGGAACTTGCTATGTAGACCAGGCTGGCCTCGAACTCACAGAGATCCACCTGCCTCTGCCTCCCAAGTGCTGGGATTAAAGGCATGCGCCACCATGCCCAGCCTGACTGGTAATTTTTTTTAAGAAAGAATATATATAATTGAGTCCCTGGAAAGTGTTTTCTAAAGCAGTTAACATTAATATCCTAGATATAAGTACATTGTAAACTGGAATAGGGGAAGAGTTTTAAAAAGCTATTAGAGGTATTTTAGGATGTGTGTATGTGCATAAGTGTATTAAAAACTGATCTGTTAGGAGTGTTTGTAGTTATTGGTAACATAAAATAATTGACTAGAGAAGCCACTCAAGGTATCTGTGGTATTCTGACTACAGGCTGGTCAAAACGGGAACAGGTATGTGCTGCTAAGAGATTCCCAGCACAGTCACTCCTTTTCCGTTAGTTTCTGATCGCTTTACATGGAGGGATCTTCCGGAGAAGCCTTCTAGGTGGGCGTTCTGTGGTCCAAGATGTAACCTCAGGGAAATGGGGTCTTGAGGCATTGGTTGTATTGTGGGCTGGTGATGGGTAACCATGGGCCTCAGATGCACCCTTCCTGTGGTCCTACGCCATCCTGAAGCTCATGACCAATGATCACTGTTGCTGGAGGAACCGAATCAGAAAGTAGGCCACTGGATCTGGATTCGGGAGTTCAGTCATAGCTACTTGATTTTTATCCCCTTCGCCCCTTGGTCATTTTATTTTGGGGGCAGCTTAAAGTTACAGCAGTTTCATTTCTCTCTCTCGGTCTCTCTGTTTCTCTCTCTGTCTCTGTCTCTCTCTCTCTTCCCCTCCCCTTCCCTCCTCCCCTCTCCCTCACTGATTATTGGCAGTATCTGATCTCTTGACACAACTTAACTCCCTTTCTGGCTTCATCCCTAAGAAAGTGGAGGAGTGTTTGTTGACCAGAGCTTTAAACCCTGTCAGTGACTGATTCACTTTGACCTTCAGCCTCAGTTTGTTCGGCAAGGGAGTGGAGAACCTGGGGAGAGGGGATCCCTCTGATCTCTTAGCCACAGAGCTCTCTGGTGTGAAGCCTGTGTCTGAAGGAGTGGGCTTGGGAGTAGGCCACACATGGTTGGAACTGAGCTAACGTGTTCCTACTGGCAGTCTCAAAGGGAAATAACAAAAATTAGTAAAAAAATAATAAAAAAATAAAAGCTAAATGTATTTCTAGTTTCATGCAGCCTATTAGAGCTGACCCAAAGAAAGTCCTTGGAAGATCCTTTGGGCAGGATCCCTGAAACGGAGAGACGACGCCTCCCAAGAGGCTGTCTCACTTTCGGACGAGGAGATTGACTGCAGATTTTGTCCTTGCTCTTACAGACGAGCTGATTGCCTATGAGCTAACCAGAAGGGAGGCAGAGGCAAACAGAAGACCCCTTCCTGAGTTGGTGCGAGCCAAGATACCCTTCAGTGCCTGCCTCCAGGCCTTTTCTGAACCAGACAATGTAGATGATTTCTGGAGCAGTGCTCTGCAAGCAAAGTCGGCGGGTGTGAAGTGAGTGTGCCCTTAGTGGCCAGAGGGGCCTGGCGAGGTAGGGTGGGGGAGAGGGAGGAGTTGTGAGAGCTCTTGTAAGCTTGTTCATGAGGGTGGGATGGATTGTGGTGCACACTGGTAACTGTCATCCACTTCATTTGAACCTGACCGATAAGACGGGCCTGTGGTTTGTGTTACATACTATGGGGTGGGGTGGGGGCGTGCCTGTTTTTAAAAATTGAAGATGGTGGTTTATCCTGTAGAAGGAATTTATTTGCCTTCCTTTCTTTTTACTTTTTTTTTTTTTTTTTTTTGCTAAGAGGCTACATTTAAGAAACATTCTTATTTCTATATGATTGATTACTGGTAAAGGAACTATAAAATGGCTTATGAGCCTTCACTATTTGAACACTGCAGTGTTGTCCTGTAATTCTGCAGTGAAGATTTAGCTTATATCTTGTTTGAGTGTGTCTCTGCTTGAAGATGTGTTGGGCCTGCCAGTAGGCTTGAGGGCAGCGCTCAGATGAGCTGCTCACCGCAGTCGGGAGGCATCCCGTGTCCGTGGGGTGAGTCTGGGTATCAGGTACACGCATAGCTCTCTCTCCAGTGCTACTGTAATCGAGTTGATGCAGTCGGCCCTTGCTGACACACTTGTATTGCTGCAGTCATGTTGGGGAAAGAGAGCTTATAGACACCTAGGAAGGGTCGCTGAGATCCCACCATGTCCTTCTGTCCTTCATTTACCTTTTCATTGTGACGTCACCCTGCCCCCCAAGTCCAGAGGATTGAACTCAGGGTTTCATCCATGCTAAGCAAGCGCTTCCTCCGTGAGCTCCACTCAGCTCTCCGCAGTTTGTGTCTGGAAGTTGACGACTTCTGCTCTTTGGCCCTCTCTCTGAGGCTGAGATCGGGCTGGGTTGGCACAGAGAGCGAAGACGGAGCCGTGGCTGCTGCTTTTACTGCAGCCTCATGCGGCAGCCAGGCCTGACGTCAGTTACTGTCTGCAGGGTGCTCAGGTTTCTGCTTGATTCGGACTGGACGTCACATGTCCAGGACAGGAGCACAAAGCAGCTTATTTCAAACACAAAGAGCTGGAGATGTCTCAGTGGTAGGATGTTTGCCTGGCACACGTGAGACCCTGGGTTTGATCTCACATATGTGCACATGCATCTATGTACCCCATAAACAAACAAGCACAACAACAAAGCCCCCTTGCCCCCCAAACCTAACAACTCCCCCAAATATCAAAACATAACAAAATAAAATGGGACCTGTCAAGGTTGTGTTTTCCTAAAGTAATTTTTACAAAGCCGCACATTTATATGATTAATACCACTTTATCCTGTTATTGGCCATCCATCTTTAGGTTAGTTTTGCTGGGGGTACTGCTGAGTTGTGGTTTGTGTGTATGTGTGTGTTTGCATATGCACACGTGTGTGTATGAGTGTATGTATGTGGTGCGTATATATGTGTATGTTTGCATGTGTATGTGTGCACCTGTATGTGTAGGCATATGTGCATATATTTCATGTATACATATATATGTGTGTGTGCATATGTATATGTGCACCTCTGTGTACATATATGTACACATATGCATGTATTTATGTTATGTGTGTATGTTTGCATATGTATGTGCATGTACTTATGTGATGTATGTGTGTGTACTTATGTGATGTATGTGTGTATCCTTTCACGTTGGTGGTGAAATTGTTTCTTTACCCAGTGACAGCAGGTTGAAGGTTCTTTAAACCCTGACCCTTTCGTCTGTGAGCTTTTATTCTGTCCTGTTTGGGAGATGGGAAATCATGGTGGGGCTGGAGGCCTAGATGTTGTGGGTGAGCTGCACAGGGAGAGTGCCTTCGTCTCCCAAGCCCTGGCTGTGCCTGTGCTCTTCAGACCAGGGCCCTGCCAGGAAGGGGCCCTCTCAACACCTGGACAAGGCCTGTCTTCACACACACACGCACACACACACACACACACACACACACACACAGGCCTGTCTACACACACACACACACACTCATGCACACACACACAGGTCTGTCTACACACACACAGACACAGACACAGACACACAGGCCTGTCTACACACATGCACGCACACACATACACACGCACATACACACACACAGGCCTGTTTACACACACACACAGAGGCCTGTCTACACATGCACACACATGCACACACACACACACACACACACACACACACACACGTCCCCTGAGCCCTGGCTTGTGGTCAGCAGATCCAGACTCTTCTCCCAAGTCTACCTCCTCATTCCTTGTCTGTCTCAGACAGTCACAACCCAGCACTGTCCTCATTCACTCATGGAGGAGCGCACTTGTTGACCTGGACTCTTCCTCAAATGCTACAGAACATGTGGTTGTAGGAAGCACTGACAGCTGTCTAGAATGCTTCAGGAGTTTCTGCTTTCTAAGTTCTTAAAAGTAGATATCTAATATGATTTTTCCTTTCCTCTGCACTGCACACACATCCTGTGTGTGTGCGCGCGCGCGCGCGCGCACTTGCATGCACACCTACCTCAGGATGTTGTGGATGTCAGCAGGCAACCTTGGGCATCGGGTCTCACCCTCCACCTTGTTTGGCTCAGGGTCTGTCTTGTTATTTGCCACTACACGCACCAGGCAAGCTGGTCCACAGGCTTCCGGAGAGTCTCCTGTCTCCACCTCCCATCACAGTAGGAACCTTGGATCATAGGCGTGCACTAGGGCCTGGCTTTGCATAGTTTCTGGGGGTCAGAACTCAGGTCCATCCCTGTGTGGCAAATGTTTTACTGACTGGGTCATCTCCCCACCCTCCAGATGCTTTTTATGGCCATGAAAAGAATCATCACTGTGTGTATCACAGTGGTTAAGAATTGAAAAAGTGGTTCTTGTGGGAAAGAGAAAAGCTAGCAGTAATAGAACAGCTCTTAGAGCTGGAGAGATGCTCGGTGGCTAAGAGCACTGGCTGCTCTTGCAGAGGACCTGGGTTCAGTTCCCGGCACCCACATGGCGGCTCACAACTCCAGTTCCAGGGGTTCCAACACCCTCTTCTGGCCTCCATCAGTACTGCATACATATGGTGCACTTATATACAGGGAAAACCCCCATACACATAAATAAATCTTTAACAAATCAAAAACCCCAAACAAATAGAAACGCCCATCATTAGACATTCATTATTGCCAGGACGTGAATTATGCACCTCCCACCAGCTGTCTTCTTTGGTTATTATTTTTTGTCATTTTGTGAGACCGGCTTGCTGTATAGACCAGGTTCCCATCAGTTGTCACAGAATCCTCTCTAGTAGTGTGAGGAAGGTTCCATTAGTTCCCATTTTACTGATGAGGACATAAAAGGAGAAATAATTGGCCAGTTAGTGGCAGGCTTCAGAGGCTGCTTCCCATCTGGACTCAAGGATGGAGCGCCTCACCCTGGTCCGTGTAGGGCTGCTCAGGGCGCTGGCCTATCCCCACATCTTACTTAGTGTTCCTTATGATGCTTTGTTTTAAATGCTAGTTTTGCCAGCTAGTGAATTTCTAAAAATTCTTTTAAAATTTCTTCTTTCTAGCGATGTAGGCTGTGACTCAGCATATATTTTGTTAACACGAGGTCTTGAATTTTCCTTTTGTCAGTGGCCAGGTGTGGCGGTGCAGGTTTGTGATCCCAGCACCTTGGGAGGTTGAAGCAGGAGGGTGGTGAGTTCATGGCCAACCTGGGCTACATAGAGAGTTCAAGGAGAGAGCTCGCATTTTGTAAACAACCAAAGGGGGTGGGGTGCAGGGAGTGGAAACTTGTGGGTCAGTAGGGAGGGACCAGGCATAATGATAATTTCCCTTGAATGATTCTGGACGGATTGTGTCTGGGAAGAACAGTGCTGTTTGGAGCACTCATCCACCCAGCAAATATTACTGCTCATTCTCATCAGAGCTGGACAAGGCCTACTGTCCACCCTTGAGTCAAGGTGGATGGAGAGGGATTTCCACTTACTCTTCGTCATTTTGGCGGGAGGAGACTGGCATGGGCTTCAGAGCACAGACTCTGTAGGTCAGCTGGAAGTGACCTTGGCCAAACGACTCTCCTCCCAGGGCCCCACTTCCATATCTGTGGACTAGGGGTAACAGGAATTATTTGTAGAATTGTGGGACCAAGTGAGCTGAGCTGAGCTAAGTGTTCCACCTAGCAGCACCAGTACCTGGAACATGAGTTGTTACCACCTTTACCTTTGTCTTAACTGTGTTTTCCCTTCTATTATGTGGTTTGAGTGTGGTTGACTAATTAGTACATTTTTGGCATATTTACTACAGAGTTGTAAAAACATCTTAGTCACTGTAGGGAGGGAGATGGTTTGCATTTTAAATAATGCTAATAGACAACTGCATAGCTTTCAAGAACCTATTCTGAGCCCTTTCTATGTCCTAACTTGTTTAATTCCCACAGCAACTTTTTAAAACTACATTGTATATTCATATAGATTTTTGATTTACATTCTGATGGCCTTTATTAAATATGCACAGCTTTTCCAGAGAAAATAAAATCATTTATTTATGATTATCGTTCTCTTTTTTAAAAGTGTAATTTATGACTTTGCTGGATTTAATTGGGAAACTTGATGTCCCCAAACTGCTATTAATGATGTGAAATCCTATTACTTTTGAGATGAACTTGAACAGATGTATACTGAGTAGTTACACACGTGTGATTCCACTCAAGACCCTAGGTTTCAAAGACATTCCTTTCTGAAATGTGGGAAACACTTACTTTGCTTTCTTGTATTCTTAGGCTGTTATTTACCCATAACAGAGTGATGTCTTAAATTGATCCTTCCACTCCTGTCCACTGACTCAACCCCAAACTGATCCTTTGCCCTGGTGCCGCTGAAATCTGACACAGATACTTACCACAGAGGCTGCAGATCTCATGGCCCCCTCGTTTCCATTTGCATATTGTTGATTTAATGAGACTTTTCCCAGATTTGATGTTAATGTGAGAAGAGAAGATCTAGGGCTGGGGAGATGGCTCAGTCAGTAAACAACATGAATCTGATCCCTAGCACTCATGTGAAGAGCTGGGCATGGTGATGCAGGCCTGTAACCTCAGCATTGGGACGTGGAGCCAGGCAGATCCCTGGGGCTTGCTCCAGGTTCAGCGAGAGACTGGAAAGAGATAGCAGAAGATACCTGATGTCAGGTAGCCCCCCCCCCACGCACGCACGCACGCACTGTTAAAAGGCAACGCACTGTTAAAAGGCAACGTTTTGCAGTTAGTTGAAAATGTCATAATGGCATAATGGGTTCTGATAAAGTTGAGGAGTTGGCTGCATTTAAATAAGAATTGGTGTTTGTTACTGTGTCTCAGACCCCTGGGAAACCTAATCAAAGGTACTAGAAATTTCTGGAGAGCCGAGTAGTTCTAGATCAGTTCCTCAGCGTGACAAAGCTCTATTTTTCTGAACAACTTCGTTATGTTACTGCCTGTACTGATCCACCACCCTTGGGATGAGATTTTGAGATAGTCGAGGTTTTTAAGCTGTTTGGGGGAGAATGCAGACCAAGTGCCCATGACCTTGGGACTGATAAAATTCATTCTGATTCCTTCAGCCTATGCAATACTGCCTGGAGGGCCAAGTGGAGTCATGATTGTGAGCAGCACAACCCTAGCAGTAGATACTGTAGTAAACCATTTCCAGACGTAAAAACAGAGCCTCAGATGGACCAGCAATTTGCCCAGATTTGTAATGAATTAAGGAACACAGTGAAGACCCAAACTACCCCTTTCTGCTCTTTGCCCAGGGTCTGCCCTGTGCTATGTCTGTATCCAACACTAGAGGGCAGCATTATCTCATTTGTGAATGCTGGGAAGAGCTGTCCTCCAGACAAGGCAAGAGCTCAGATTCACAAAGTGGGGTTTGATGGAGGGAGTTCGGAATCCTTCGTTTTAAAAGGCCTCCATTGTATCTGTCCATGGCTCATTTTCTTAGCTATAAAGCCGAGAAGCAATACGGATCATTTTCTGTTTTACACAGATAATCGAACAGAAATGGTGGCTGGAAAGATGATAACGTGGATGGAATGAGGCATGAATGTAATGTACAGATTGAACAGTCAGTCTGTGCAGAAAATTGGCAAACCCAAGTCCAGGAAACTTTGTCTTTTAGGAAGCTTGATATGAATTCAAGGAATCACATGTGTGTGTTAGTTCAACAATGTAAGGCTTAGGGGCTGGAGAGATGCCTCAGCAGTTAAGAGCACTGGCTGCTTTTATGGAGCACCTGAGTTCTGTTCCCAGCATCTACACTGGTTGCCATCTGTGACTCCAGTTCCAGGAGATCTGATGCCCTCTTCTGGCCTCCGTGGACACCAGACATACATGTAGTACACACACACACACACACACACACACACACACACACACTTCTGATCAGACACAGGGCCTGCGGAACAGCAAACCCACAAATACATGCACTGAATCCTAGGGAGGGTCTCAGAAAAGCGAATGGTTTAGTAGGAAACCTCCCAGCAAAGCAGTTGTGAAGTGGCCGCACCCCAGCCTCACCACGCTGCACTGTCAGCACGTCTGTCTTGAGGAGAGGCTGGGTGAGCGCTGGGGCGGGTGCGAGGTGCTTGTGAACTTACCCTCAGGTCCCAGGGCTTTCGATGCCTCGGGGAGAGCTGCTTGTGCTGCCTCCTGAACTGTGTTCAGCTTTCTTTTGCCTTGTTTGATTGATTTAATCCCCTTCTGTTTCCCAGAACATCTCGCTTTGCCTCATTCCCTGAATACTTGGTAGTGCAGATAAAGAAGTTCACTTTTGGTCTTGACTGGGTTCCCAAAAAATTTGGTAGGTATCTTTTGCATGCTTTCACCTAAAATACCGAGTGAGCCACTTAACGCGCCATGGCATGTGAAGGAGGTGGTGGCCGGACGCCTTCCTGTCACCTCCACCTTGTTGTTTCTCTGTTACCCCTCACCGTCCTCTGGGTTCCGCTTGTGGGAAGCACTGACTTTAAGAAGTACCCCCTGCTAACCCTCCCCTGCACTGCCGGGCCCTGGGAGAGCAGGATGGCTCCAGATGCGACGGGATGGTAGGGGAACGCCGGTGCTGATTGGCGGGTGTGGGGTGGGCCCGAGAGACTGTTTCTAACCTGCACCAAAGTGGTGCTGGCTGTGCTGCCCCAGACACCACACTTAGAGATGCGTCTGCTCTTAGCAGCGCTCTGCCTCCGAGGCAGGTGAGATTCATTTAAATCATACAAACCTCAGTAGCAATCAGGCAGAAACACTTGCATCAAGCAGTTCAAAGAAGGATACGATTCAGGCGTCACTGGACTTGCTTCTGCATTTGCAGGGACCCTGGCCCTGGTGGAAGGCTTATTTTCCAGACAAGTCACAAAGAGCATCTATCTCCTCTACCACTAGGATCAACTCTGAAGGGTCTTAGGTTGCCTCCGGGCTGTGGAAGGATCCTCATTTTACCCATTGTAGCTTATCAGACAGATACCCTTGAACCGTTTGCCAGGCTGTACAGTGTGTGTTTGAACACTTAGGGAGCAAACAATGCAAGTCTTACAGTTTGCGAAACACTGGTCTCAGGGGACAGGGAGAAAGAGGGAAAACCAGATGGGGTGATTTCCCAGGAAGCCTGGCACTGTTGAGCACACAGCACCTGTTTGCTGCTCTTTCTGATGCCTGGGACCCCCCCCAAAGGATTTGGGGAACAGAGAGGGTCTGAGGGTTAGGGTCCTGACTGCTCTGATCTCTTCTGGCCCCTGGGAGGGATGAAATATTGAGATGGAGATAAACTGACTCCTTCTAAAGGCTTTGAACTGCTTTGGACAGTTTTCTTATTTTCCTTTGTTCTTGGAATTTCTGTAAAGGAAAAATTGAATCAAAGTTTGGTGAGTTACTGAATTTAAAGGAGTCTCAAGGTGGTACTGAATTTTTCCCTTGAAGAACAATTGTGTTAATTCTGTTGGCCAGACTTTATGTTTGGTTTCCTTGTCCTCTGAAATTTAATTTTCTAAACTTAGCATTTTGAGTTTTGGGTTGTTTCATTTTTATTTAGTTTGGTTCTTGAAACAGGGCCTCATATAGCCCAGGCTGGCCTTTTTAGCTGAGATGATCCTTGAACTCCTGATCCTCCTGCCTCCACCTCCTAAGTGCTCTGATTACAGGTCTGTGTTACCATACTTAGGCTGATTTGTTGTTTTAAATATGATTTTTTTTGGTCTTTTTGAGACAGGGTCTCCCTGTAGCCCCAGCTGTCTGGGAACTCACTATGTAGACCAGGGTGGCCTTGGACTCACAGAGATCCTCCTGCCTCTGCTTTCCGAGTGCTGGGATTAAAGGTGTTATGTATCTAACGCCATTTGGAGGCAGTATTTTCAAGGTCTTGCTCAGGAGTCCAAACGATATCTCCTGATTGAGTCCACTTTCCATTCTCACCAGAATCAAGGCAGCTTCAGGGGTTATCGGGCAGATAAATCTTATAATTGATTAAGTCACATGCAATAGCAACCAAATCAAGAAAGTTTTGTTTTTCTCTCCGAAGTGCCCCAGGGATGATGACACTTGAGATTCAGTCAAGTTCTTTCAAACTTTATTCTTTATTGCTTAGAATGATCACAGTGCCTGTCACAATCTCAGGAACAGTGTAAACTAGAAGTTGAGGACTCAAATGTCTAAGGTAGACAGGGAAATAACGGACAGGAAAGAAGCAGCCACTGGGTAAAGGAAGACACAGCTGACTCCTGAGGTCAGTGACAGAGAGTGAAAGGATATTTCTCTACTACACGCAGTGAGGTCAGCGTGAGGCAGTCACAGGGGCCACCGCTGTCCAGAGCAGAGGCTGAAGGCCAGCTCCTGACAGTCACCACAGGTGAATGTGCTACACTTGTGTGGTTTTCAAAATCTAGAAATATGAATTTGAAAATTAAATCTTGCAACATCATAAAAGCATCAAATGGAATGAATTCAGGCCATGGGTATTTAGCTCTGTGACCTCTGCCTCAGCCCAACTGTTGCTGTCTGGTGTGACAACTCTGTTCTGCCACTCTCTGTCCTTTTCTGAGCCCTCCATTAGCCTGTCATGACCAACCTGCTGTGCTGCGTGTCCCTTAGCTGTGCCTCGACAAATGCATGCAGTGAGCAATGCTGGATTTACAGTAGCTGACCCTGGAGACTTTAGTGATTGTAATCTTTCATTTCGCAGATGTTTCTATCGATATGCCAGATCTGCTAAACATCAGCCATCTCCGAGCCAGGGGCTTACAGCCTGGAGAAGAGGAACTTCCGGACATCAGCCCCCCCATAGTCATTCCCGATGACTCAAAAGGTAACATCTGCTATGGGGAGGGTGCTCCCTCTGCCGCCCCCTCCAGGGTCAGTCACTGTCTTTCAACCTTGTCAGGATGCCGGGGGGCTGTGAGGTCGCCACCCTAGACACATAGAAATGAAGCAAGTTGCAATTGCACACTACACACACACACACACACACACACACACACACACACACACACACACAAAGACGCTAACCAGGACTTCCTGTTTTATCTGTGTCTAAGCGTCTAGTTTGTTTTGTTTTGATAGTACTGAACTTGCCATGTAGCCCAGTCTGGCCTTGAACTTGTGGAGATTCCCTGTGGGGCTTACCTGTGAGCATCACATGCCCAGCCTCCATTGTGAGTAGGGGGATGGACAGTTTTTCAGATTACCCTGCCTCTGGCTTTGACTCCCCGCTCTGCGCCTCCAGGTGGAGGGGGGTGGGAGGAGTGTGTTTGCACCTGTAGGAAAAAGGAGTTTCCATCAGGATCTGAGCTTAGGGAACTGTGCTGTTCTCCTTAGTGCCTGTGGACAAAGGGAAGGGGACTTGCAGCTGGGTGTGCTGGTTTTGAGATCTAGGTCACGTTTTACAGCCTGTCACTGCTGCATAGTAATGAAGTCACTTGGACCCCCTGTGCACTTTGTGACTGCTAGCTTGGCTGTTGTTAGGATACATGACTTTCTAAGGCAGGGAGGTGTGCAAAAATAGTTGCCTCACCTCTGAGGGTTCAAGGCAGAAGTCAGAAACATCTTAGTTTCGTTATTGGCACAGTTACTGAGATGAAATCGGTTTTATTTTGGGTCTTCTCACCTGTTTGTCATCATTTTCCTTAGTGAATTCATGAAGTAAATTAGAGAACGGTGGTGGTTTCCCATCAAGTTATTGGTGACTGTTTGGTAGGAAAGGTGAGGCTCCAGGAGAAAGCGAGGCTCTCAAGGAGGTCTCCATTAGATCAGTTCTTAAGAGGAAAGTCCAGGGCTAAACTGGAGGCTGAGCCAAAGCAGGGGCCTTCAGGTGAGACCTCTGGGTCCTTGGCAGGGAGCTTGTGGACAGGTGATGATGATGTACCCACACTGCTGAATCCTTGATTTACAATTACACGAGGTTCTTAGAAATAAATACAGGGGGGCTAGAAAGATGGCTCAGCAGTGAGGACCTGGGTTCAGTTCCCAGTACCCACGTGGCAGCGAACAACTGTCTGTAACTCCAGTTTCGGGGGATCTGACGCCCTCTTCTGACCTCTGCAGGCATTCTACAACACTGGTGCACTTACACACATATGGGCAATCAATATACTCCTACACATAAAGTCAAAATAATAAAAAAAAAATGAAATAGATGCAGGAACTGAAATTATTTAGTTCTTTAGGGTGCTAACCCGGACTCCCCGTTTTATCTGTGTCTAAGTGCCTGAAGCCTGCTCTTCCCCCTTTAAGGAGATGTTCTGTAGGTAGGGTGCTGTGCGGGTATACCCAAGAGTGACACAGTCTGGGAATGCCCTGGATCTATTACTTTCTCTTTCTTTTTAATATTTTATTTATTATTTTAATTTTATGTGTATGTGTGTATTGCCTGCATGTACATAAGTCCGCCCCTGTCATGCAATGCCTATGGAGGACAGAAGAGGCTGTCGGATCCCCTGGGATTGGAGTTATGGACAGTTGTTAGCTGCCATGTGGGTGCTGGGGTTCGAACCCTGATCTTCTGCAAGAACAGTCAGTGCTCTTAACCACTGAGCCACCTCTCCAGCCCCTCTTTCTCTTTCTAACACTATTGGATGTAGCTTTCTCTAATTTCTGACCTGTTGCTTCATTTCCAGATCGCCTGATGAACCAGCTAATAGACCGTAGGTATCTTTTACAATGTGTTCTACAGCTGTTACTTGTGTGACACTTTTGGGGGTTGAACAAAGCAGCATTGCTCTGTTCTGGGTATAGGCAGCCTCTCCTGGGTGGGAAGGACTCTGCAGGCTGAGTAGGTAACAGACCAATGTCATGTTGATGGAGTGACTGTAGGCCAGAGAACCAGATGGCCCCAGGCTGAACCTTGGATTTTCTGCCTGTGACTGTGCTGTGGAATAATTTCCTCCCTTCTGCCTGCCTAGCTTTCCTCACTTGTGAATGGAGGGTAATGATACCAGCTCAATATTTCGGTGACTTAAAAAGAAATAAAATCTCGGGAGGCAGAGGCAGGCGGAGGGAGGCAGAGGCAGAGGCCAGCGTGGTCTACACAGTGAGTTCCAGGACAGCTGGGGCTACAGGGGATATATAAATAAATAAAATCATTAAGTCCCAACCAAACTGCATTTCTTCATGTAGTCTTTGGAAAAGGGTCAGGAGAGTGATGGAAGCAGGAAGAATTCCTTCTTCACAGAGGAATCCTGTTGTGCTCCACAGCCTCAGACATTGATGAGTCCTCCGTGATGCAGCTGGCGGAGATGGGCTTTCCCCTGGAGGCCTGCCGGAAGGCTGTGTACTTCACTGGAAATATGGGCGCCGAGGTGGCCTTCAACTGGATCATTGTACACATGGAGGAGCCAGGTAGGTGCGGTTCTGAGTCCCAGGGATGTGTCTCAGAAAGTGACTTTTCAGGTCATAATACACAAAGCAGCAATCTGGTCTTCTTTTAAACAGCTTCCCAGTCGCCTACTGAAACTCACCTATCTAAATTTAGATTGAAAGCTAGCATCCACTTATGAGAGAAAATGTGATGTTTGAATTTCTGGGTTGGGTGGCCTCCTTTAGGATGATTGCTTCCAGTTCCCTCCATTTACCTGCAGATTTCATCATTTCATCTTTCTTAATGGCTGAATAATATTCCATTGTGTAAATGTACCATGTTTGAATCATACCTTGGGAAATGTAGATTGGACTTGATAGACCATACCCCCCCCAAAAGACAAATAATAATAGAGGACATGAAGAGGGGCTAGTAAGATGGGGTAGAGAGCGGGGAAGGGTATGAATACAATCAAAATATAGTCCATGAAATTCTCGAATCAATTAAAAAAATTTTTTATATAGAAAAACCCCCAAAACTCCCACAGCTTTCTTGGTATATAAGTTACTTCTTTAAAGTGTATGTATTTCATTGAGAAAGAGGTCATTAATGAGGTCAGATGAGGGTTATATTTCCAGTTTGAGTAGAAACATAAAGAAATGGGGGCCTTTCAGTTAACTTTATTTTCTCTCATTTATGGAAATAGATGCATATGCACATTTGCATCCATTTAAAATGTATGTTCAAATTGATTTATGTTCCGTCACAGCTAGACAATCATCCCTAACCGAGCATATTTCATCCGTCCACCAGAAACGCTGTAGACAGTGGCCTCTTTCCCCACGTCCCTCGTCTCTCCAGCCCTTGGTGGTCACGAATCTACTTTCCGGGTATCCTACAATTGTTAGGAATTTGCCTGTTTGGACATTGCATTTAAGTGGAGTCTTTGGCGTCTGGTTTCTATCACTTTTTGTGATGTAATCAGGGGTCTGTGTCATAGCATGAACAGTCCTTCCTTTTTTGTGGCTACATAACATTCCATTGCATTCCACACTACAACTTATTTATCCTTTCATCACTTGATGGACATTTGGGTTACTTCTGCTTTTTGGCCTTTATCAAGGATGCTGTAAAATTTGCATACAGTTTTTTGCGTGGCTAGGCATTTTCATTTCTCTTGAGTGGAATTGCTGTGTCATATGGTAGCTCTACATCTAATTTTTGAGAGGCTGTCAAACTGTTTTCCATGGTGGCTGAACCACTTTACATGCCCACCTGTGCCAGGTGAGGGCTCCAGTTCTCTGGAGATCTGTCATAGCCATTCCTGATTCCTGGGTGCGCAGTTGTAAGCTGCATCCCCCTAAGGACCAGCGATGCTGGGCATCTTCCGTTTAAACGAGCTACTTGTCTTTTTATTACTGAGTTCTAAGTGCTCTTTTCTGGGTGCGAGTTCTTCTCAGATGCACGATTTAGTGGTAGATTTCCGTTTTGCTGCCTTATTCGCTCAGTGGTGCCTGAAGCAAACACAGTTTTAAAATGTGGATGTGGTCCAGGAGCCCTTTTGTGTTGTGACTTGTGCTTTCTGTGTTGTATTTAAGAAGCCATCGCAGAACCTGCCACAAAGTGCACTCCTCTGTGTGTGTTTTAAGTAGTGTGCTCAGCTCCTGTATTTAAATCAGTGATCCTTTTTGAGTTGATTTTGTGTGTGATGTGAGGAAAGGGGTCTGACTTCATCATTTCATATTCAGTTGTGATATTGCTATTTGTTGTAAAGTCAACCTTTCCTGTTGATGTCTGGTTGAAAAATCACCTAATTTTTCTCAATTTCCAGTCCTCCTAAACTGATTTATATGTCTAGTTTACACCAGCTCCAGGTTCCCTTGATTATAATCTTATAGGTGCTCCATAGTGGCCTGAAAATGTCAGTTCTCAAGTCAGAACCTGGAAAGGTTTGAGTGCTGTCATTATCCTCAGATTTTGCCGAACCGCTGACCGTGCCTATGTATGGAGGGGCAGGAGCCTCTGTGTTTGGTGCTACTGGACTGGACAACCAACCTCCTGAGGAGATCGTGGCCATCATCACCTCCATGGGATTCCAGAGAAATCAGGCCATGCAGGCTCTGCGAGCAACGGTGAGCGCACTGGTGGGAAGACCCGTCAGTTCCGCCCTTCGAACCAAGCCCTCCCTGTGTCCTTTGGGCATCCAGAGTCATCTGTGTCTGGCTCTGGGCCCCATCACCGTTCATGAAGATCTGTTTGCATGCAGTGTATGTTAAGCTGGACTGCATGAATGAGGGGATCGTATGGCGAACTTAGTAAAGCTGGAGCCGGATGAACCAACTCTTGAAGGCTCTTTAGTGGGGCTCAGAGATTTGACGTGGCATTTGCGGTGGCTTCAGAGCAAAAGAGGTGCAGGGATTCTAGCTGGTGAGAAAGTTCCTAAGGCAAAACGATGCTTTTTAAAGTATCAAGACCTTTGGGGTGGGAGTGATGGCTCAGTGGTAAAGAGCACTGGCTGCTCTTTCAGAGGACCTGGCTTCGAATCCCAGCACCCACATGGTGGATAACAACAGTCTGTAACTCCAGTTCCAGGGGGTCCGATGCCCTTTGTGTCCTCCATGGGCATTGTACAACATGAGTGCAATACATGCAGGCAACATACTCAGACACATTTAAAACAAATCAAGACCTTGGAGAAAAGTCTCTTTAAGGTCCTCATAGAAAACTTGGAATTCTCAGCCACTGTTTCTGCTGAGAGAGAAGGTTTTTCTGGTAGTTATGAGCATCTTGATGTATCAGGAGGGACCCTGTGCCAGCAGGTTGATGGGAATCTCCCTGGTGTAGTGTAAGTGTCTATGTAATGTTCAGGAAAGCACTTTTTAAAGACCCCCCCCCTTCTTGCCACGTCATTTTTGAGTGGATATTGCTCCAAGTTCTTTCTTGCCTGTCCTGACTGGGTGCCTGTCAAGGGCCTGTTGCTGAGATCACAGTGACCGGTGAGCAGCTCATGGGAGCGTGATTGGAAGCATGTTTCCCTTTAAAATGTTCACATGGTCTCAGCCAGAGGCATTCTCTCTGGGATGCTCTCTTGTGCCCACTTGTTTTCTTTGCCTCTTTCATTGGCCTTTCTGTGTCTAAACAAATTCTTTAGCTTTCCAGTGATGTCACAAATGGAGAAGGTGGAAATGCCATCATGGTGAGGTGCGAACCATATGGAGTTCCATTAAAACAGCCACCAACCAAGGCATGCATCTGTTCTGCGGTAGATAGCCAGTTTTCCAGTATTCAGGGCAAGGAGTTATTAATCCAGTGTGCGCAGCTTACAGAATTATCTGCAGAAAATGCAGTTGCAGAGAAGAGAATGTGTTCTGTTACTTTGACTGTGGAAAGGGTTGCACTTAGACATTGTATCTGTTATTAGCACCAGTCTACAGAAATCCTGATCTAGGACCAGTTAAGGACTTGGGAGCCACTTGCTGCTCAGAACTGTTCTCTAGTGACCCCAGTGGCATGTCGTGGGTGGGCGAGCTGCAGTGCGTCACGCGCAGAGTCCAAACTCACTCAGAGGCCCTTAGGGCCATGAATTCAGGCTTCTGCGCCAACACTTGGCCCCTGTTGCAGATGTTCGGGAAGTGGTGAGACCTGGAGGCTGTGTGTGTCATAAACGCGTTTCGTTTCATTAGAATAACAACCTGGAAAGGGCACTGGACTGGATCTTTAGCCACCCTGAGTTTGAAGAGGACAGTGACTCCGTGATTGAAATGGAGAACAATGCCAACGCCAACATCATATCTGAGGCCAAGCCTGAAGGGCCCAGGATCAAGGATGGACCCGGAAGTGAGTTCTTCCTTAGACATCCCCTCAGTAGTCACAGGTGTATTTCAGGTCACACCCTGCCTCCCTCTCGCTTACCCAAACCTTTTGGCGTCATTCAGTGTTGACAAAGAGCCATCTTTTCGCAAGTGGCACATCCTACCACATAGCCTGGCTGCCATGGTCTGATACAGTCTAAATAATTCAGAGTCATGCCATTGAGTAGTGTGTGTGTGTGTGTGTGTGTGTGTGTGTGGAGAGAGAGAGAGAGAGAGAGAGAGAGAGAGAGAGAGAGAGAGAGTATTTAGTGCCAATGTAGACTTTATTCTTTTGGATTGAACCCAGGGCCTTGTGTGGGCTACGCATGCACTCTGCCACTGAGCTACACCTCTTTTGTCCCTTCCGTTGAGGTTTGCATTTCTTCATGAAACATGGTAGCTCTTGCTGAAGGAGCACTGTATGTTTCAATACAGAAAGGCAATAGATCCTTGGATGCCATCACCTAGGCCTCCTGCTGCTGGTTCTGAAGGGCTGATTCAAGATGACCAGAGCTGGTGCCACAGGCCGGTGTCCTGCCCCTCAGCGACCAACTGTCAAGTGGTGGCTGGTGTCAGGCACTGTTGTGAGCACTTTGTGCATAAACACCTTGAATCCTTGTCAGCCAGCTTTACAGGCAAGAAGATGGGAGTGGAGAGACTAGGTACCTTGGCCAGTCTCTTCAGAAGTGGGGGCAAGTTCAGGCCTGCAGCCCATGCTCTTGGCATATCCTGGGCTGTCACTGCATGGGAGTGATGTTTGGTCTGTCCTGCAACATGTCCTGCTGTCATGTCCCAGCCTAGTGCTTCTGTTCCGGCCGCGCCCCTCTGCCTGCAGCCCAGATGTCTGGCTCTGTAGATGGACAGCACCATGTTCAGCTCCTCCCTGCCCACTCCAGGCCTTCGCTAGGTGAATCCCTGTTTGTGAGATAGTCACCCTACCTGTCACTCCTTATCAGCCCTTAGAACTTGACCACATAGTCCCTTCCCCCCCTCCCCCCTCCCCTTCTTCCTTCTCTCCCATTTTCTTCCTCCCCCTCTCCCTCTTCCTCTCCCTCCTCCTCTTCCTTCTCTCCCATTTTCTTCCTCCCCTTCCCTCCTCTTCCTCCTCATCTTCCTCTTCCTCCTCTTCCTTTTCTCCCCCCACTTCCTCTCCTTCCTCTTCTCTTCCTCCTTCCCAATTCTCCTTCCTGTCTACCCTCTTCTTCTTCCTCTATAAAGTAGGAATTTATTCACTAAAATTCTTATCCCCATCTAGGTAAGGAAAGAGTGAGGTGAGGTTCTCCCAACTTACCTACTCTTACAAGGTCTTGCATTTCTTTTTAGAAGCCACTGGCTTAGAATGTGAGCTACTATGATGGACAAGGTCTCAGTGAGTCACAAGCAGGGCTTGTTCCATGCTCCGGGTCCATTCGCTTACCACTTCATCAGTTTCCATAACAGGCTGTGGAGATGCCGAGTCCTTTTGGCAGAAGGACTGGCCTGCAGAAATGGGGCTGTTGTGAAACTGCTACAGTGTTGGGCATGGAGGCACACAGCTCTCAGGAGGTCAGGGGTGACATCAGCCACGTAGTCCCTCAGGCTTCTGTGCTTCAGGACCATCTGCAGACATCCAGGTCCTGTTAGATGCTGAATTTTGTCCTTGCAGGACACCATGATGCTGCTTTCAGACCCTGGGGTTGTGGGTACCGGTGGAGAAGGAGGGCTGCCACGTAGTAAACACAGCACGTAAAGGCAGTGCTTGGTGAAAATCTAATTATGAAAAAAAATCAAATACCATCATTTAACAAATGCATCTTGAGCCTGGCTTACAGAAGAGTAAATGCTCTGAGACAGACTCCTTGGCACCGTGTGGCTGGGGGAGGCGGTCAGTAAAAATATCAACAGTGTGAAGGATCAGATGAGTGCCAAGAGGTTAGGCCTCAGGCAGGCTTTGTGTTGGAGGATCTGAGGATCTGGGAGTGCCCCACGGCAGGCAGTGGCAGTGGGGAGAACAGGGTGACTTCCTGTACCTGCATTCTGCCCAGGTCACCTGGCACTCACCGGTGGCTTGCTTTGTCCTTTAAAGAAATAATGTTTGTATTGTCTATCTTTATCATTAAAAGGATATATGTTGACTCTGGGGCAAAGGCTCAGTTGTTAAAGTGTGCAACATGAGGACCTGTGGCGTTCAATCCCCAGCACCCGCACAGAAAAACCCAGGCCTGAAATCACAGTGCTCTGAGGTGTTACTAAGAGGATCCCTAGGGTTTGCTGGCTAGGCAGTCTGGCATAATGGGTGAGCCCTAGGTGCCAGTGGGAGACCATTTCTCAAAACAAGATGGATGGATGCTTTCATGCACATACACTCACACACATGCAAAACATGTACACACTTGCATTGGACAATGCATCAGGCAATGCATCCATCACACACACATGCCTCACACTGCATCACACAATGTATCACAAGCTTCACATGTGTGCCAGCAAAGAAATCCAGCAGCTTCCTGTCACCTGATCTCTGGAAATAGCATTATGTGCCTGCAGGGCAGGGCTGGGCAGGGCAGGGCAGGGCAGGGCTGGGCAGGGCAGGGCTGGGCAGGGCAGGGCTGGGCAGGGCAGGGCCCTGGGGCTGCAGAGAGAAGTGGACAGGGCAGGGCTGGGCAGGGCAGGGCTGGGCAGGGCTGGGCAGGGCTGGGCAGGGCAGGGCAGGGCTGGGCTTTATTGTCTCCTGACTTTTCTTGTGTTGATGGCTTGTGTCATTTTCTTTGGCCATTTTCCTGTTTTTATTGAGGTGCTCTGGCGCTCTTAGAATTGGTCATTGTGGGAATTTCAGGCATTATAGGTTAGTGTGGCCACAGCTCAGTGCTTTATGATTCTAGGTTTTTTTAGCCATAACCATGAGAACTTCTCCTTTAATCCCACCACCTCCTCCTATCCCTGAAAAACAGCTTTTTTTAAAAAAAATTGAACTTAACAATTTTATTTGTAACAGACAAAATTAATTTATATGTATATTTATTTTCTTTGGCACATAAAAATAGAAATGTTTACAGATATAAACATATAAAACAGACGTCAGAAGAAAACAGGATTTTACAAAGGATGCTTTTTTGGGAAACACTGCTAAAAAGGTTCAGGGTAACAAGAAAAAAGACAGACAGAACATTTAAATGAACAGACTCCTTAGGTTGACACTAGAGTCCCTTTTTTATAAACAGCTTTTCATTTCTGGCTTATCCGGTACCAGAATGGTAAGTTTTAAAATCTTTATTTAAATTTCCCCTTTATTTTGAAGAGTAGAACTGGCTTGTGGTAAGTGATCAGCAAGTGACCAGGTTGAATGAAGAATTAACTGCATGAATGGAAGGAGACGACATTCTTTAGACCGCTGAGTTGTGTAAAGTTAATATGTGCAGGGTTTGATTGGAATTGCATTGAACACATAGGTTAATCTGGGTTAGTATGTGTTCTATTCAAGTAGATTGCCTTAAATTCCCAAGTCATTTCTACTTAGTTTGGCTGATGAGTTGGTTGAAATACTTGACAGAGAGGCACTGAATGCCATTCAAGGGTGACGTAACAGTTTCATGGAGTTTTTTAATAGTGGCAGAACAGGAAAATCCATAAATCAAGACACTTTTCAAATATGCTGTGGAAACATTAAGTAGGCAGTCACAGCAAAAGACAAACCTCAGCTCTAGGCCTCAGACACCATCTGATGATACTCAGCCTTTTGGTTGGTGGAAGTCCAATGGTCTGCTAAGTTAATACATTCCAAAAGATTTTTATCTGTTAGTCACAGGATGTTAAATCAGAAACAGAGGTGGGCTGGTTAGGGGGCTAAAGATGGCCCAAGATAAATAGCAATTGTGTTTGGACCTGCAACATCCAAATGCTCCACAATCACTGGATCAGTTGATCAGCTTTTGAAGAAAGTTTCAAAAGCTCAGTTTCAAGATGCAGTTTTTCTGGGAACTGTTGTTTACACTAGCATGGGCTCAGTGAGTTAGTTCTGGAAAGCAGAGCCTACACAAGGAAAGACCGGCCTCTTACAACTGTTGGTTTCCCGTTACGGTCCAGTTTCTCTGTGTCCCATGTGTGTTGTTAGCACACATATCCTGATGGGTGCCCCACGCTGCCAGGTCACGACAGGCAGAGCCGTGTACGTGCACTCAGGCACAGAACATGCCGCCTTTCCTTTGCTTTGCTGTGGAGGGTTCCTGCCACATTCCCCCCTTTGATGTTCAGACCCCCTTAGAATCAAAGAGCATCATTTTGGTTTAGGATTGTGGATGAGAAAACAGACCATAATGCTACAAGGTGCAATTGTCAGGTTAAGGAATAAATGACATCAACACATATGCTAGTTACATAAAGAGGAAGTTGAAGAGAAGATGAATACGTAGTTTTAAAAATGTTTTTTGACAGAAGAGATTTTGCTTATTTCTAATTTTAAGATTGTGTGGCTTTTCTGAAGTTCTCATTAGTAACACATTATGATATGATGTACGGTTTGCCCAGGTGTTGTTTTAATTACTCATAAAATTAGTCCTTGTGTGCAATTATGTCTCCTAAGACAAACGACCTCACTTTTTAATTTTTAAATCATTGTTTTATAAGATTAGAAAAGGAGTCATTTATTCCTGAATTTTTGGCTAACTTATTGGATAAAATAGTTCCTAGAGAGCTTTTGTAATCGTTGTGTCAGGAACTGTACTCTTTGGAGTAAAAGTGCAATCTTCCATCAAGCATAATGCAAGTACCTTTATTTTTTTGGTACGTTGTAATCCTTTTAAATCATTCAGCTGGTGCCGTCTAGCTGGCTAGGCCCTCCTTAGAGACATTCTCGGTATTCCTGATGAATCTTTGATGATTAATTTACACTCTTGTTTATTGTTGACCATCAAAATATAGTCTATTTGAAACCTGCAGTTATTTGGTTTCTAGTCTTAAATTCATTTGGAAGTCCCCCAGGGACTCATATAGAGTTGTGTGAACATTAAA